GGGGGGGAAGGAGCTGAAGCCTTGGGGGCACTGGGGCAGGAGATGCAACGCTGGAGGGGCTCTGGGGGCATCGGGGGACAGGAGGGCAGTGCTGGGGTGAACCCCGGTGACCCCCCAGTGCCCTGGGAGGAAGAGCAGAGGGGTTGATGGAGAGGGGACGCAGCGGCACGGGGCAGACCCTGCAGTGGGGGAGCGGGAGCCCTGCGAGAGGTGTGAGTGCCCCCCAAAACAGGGACCATAACCCACCCCGCTGGGGCAGCTGGAGGGTCTGTAGTGCCACAGGGGCAGGACAGGGGGCTGCAGGACAGGGAGTGCTGCCGGGGAATGCCGCTGGAATCAGGGCTGCCTTGTCCGGGAGCCGGAGCACGGGAGGRGAAGAGCGCCCGGGCTCCTTGGGCTGCGATGCTGCGTGCCAGTGGCAGCGGAGAGGGATGCAGGAGCCTTTGTAGGGAGAGCAGCGCCGAGTGGAGCCGCTGCCGAGGAGCTGAGCAGGCCCCTGGTGCTGATGTTGTCATCTGTGTCTCTGTTGTGTATTATTTCCAGCTGATTGGTAAAGATGGAAAGAGGGAGAGGAGGAGGAGGAGGAAGGAACCTGGGAGGCTCTGGCCTGCACAGGAACATTTATTCCCAGTCCCAGCAGCAGTACCACTACCCGGCCTCCTCCCAGGGGAGCTGCATGGAGATCCAGGAGCTGGCCTCCAAGAGGGTGGACATCCAGAAGAAACGCTTTTATCTGGATGTGAAACAGAGCTCCCGCGGCCGCTTCCTGAAGATCGCCGAGGTCTGGATAGGAAGGGGCAGGCAGGACAACATCAGGAAGAGCAAGCTGACCCTCTCCYTGTCCGTGGCTGCCGAGCTGAAGGACTGCCTGGGGGACTTCATCGAGCACTACGCCCACCTGGGGCTGAAAGGCGGCCACCGGCACGAACACAGCAATGACAAGGAGCAGCATCCCCGAAGGCGRCCGCAGCACCCGCCACCTTCGCCCCCGGCATCCGTGGGCTCCGAAGAGCCTCCTCACAGCGTCCTCAAAACGGAGTACATCGAGAGGGACAACAGGAAGTACTACCTGGACCTGAAGGAGAACCAGCGAGGGCGCTTCTTGCGGATTAGGCAGACCATGAGCAGGGGACCTGGCATGATGGGTTATTTTGGCCACAGCTTGGGACAGGAGCAGACGATCGTCCTGCCGGCGCAAGGGATGATCGAGTTCAGGGATGCTTTGGTCCAGCTGATTGAAGAATACGGTGAGGGGGACATAGAGGATCGCCGGGGGGGAGGTGACGAGCCCCCGGAGCTCCCTGAGGGCACCTCCTTCCGAGTGGACAACAAGCGCTTCTACTTCGACGTGGGATCCAACAGGTACGGCATCTTCCTGAAGGTAAGTGAGGTGAGGCCGCCCTACCGTAACACCATCACAGTTCCCTACAAAGCGTGGACACGGTTTGGGGAAAATTTTATCAAGTACGAAGAAGAGATGAGGAGAATTTACAACAGCCATAAAGAGAAAAGAATGGATGCCAGAGGGGACAGTGGTGAAGAGCRAGAGGGTCTGGAATAGAGTGCATTGGACAATTAACCAAACAAAACAAACAGAAAATGGTGAGAGGGACTGACCTATAGTAATTCCAAGTTGCCCCAGTTTTTTGTAAAGTCCTTTTCTGGTAGTTCTTGCTAACTCCAGTATGTAATGTTATAGGAGTCTGGTTATCACGTTAAACTATGCCCAAAACATCTCCGTATGTCTTAGGAAAGGACCAACCTCCCGAGTCCGTATGAGTCAGCTGCTTCGAGTGTTGGAGACTGTGGAAGTACGAGTATCAGCACAAAAAAAATCCGGCACCCTGACCTTTAAATAGTCTAGAAAAGGCTTGTGTTGCACTTAAACATGATACGAAAGTACCCCCACCCCGAACCTTATGATGAAATGTATCAGTTACCGCTTATCACCAGTTTTTCAGGACTGGCTTCTGCCTGCGCTTGGTCCAAAGGCCGAGCAGCATCGCCRTAGAGCATTTATGGCAAAAATCATTTATGGTGAATCAAAAAACATTTATGGTGAATCGCTGGTCTGTGTGTGAGGAGGAAGAGAGGTTTTAAAGTTGGCATCTGCTGGTTATTGAGTTGGAAACAATAGTCTGTTTATGGGTAAAATCTCAATAACCGGTCAGACTTTGGTCACGTGCTGGTGAAGGCAGAAGATCTGTTATTCAGGCCATAATTTTGTGCTGACCGGATAACCTGAGTATCCCAGGATAGTGGAGTGCTAAGCCTTCTGAACCCACTCCTCATCTCTGTGTTCTGCCCATGTGAGGCTGGTGATCTTTTTCTTTTTTTTCATTTCTAATGCATTTTGTCCAAAATTTCAGAAGGTATTTTGTATTAGGTGTTCCAGCAACTGTGGTGTTGGGAGGTGGAGGGAATCCTGCAACCGAGACTCCTGACTCCTCTCGCAGATTTATGTGGTCAGGATGTTATCTGTGCCAGGAAAACATCTGGGTTTTTTCCTCCTCCCACCATGAGGAAGATCTTTGGTGGGTTTGATGCACCACTGGATTTGTGTAAAAAGGCATCTCTTTCACACTCACCCATGGTGCGTTTCAGAAGCTGTGGTGAACTCCCTATTGGGTTTTATGTCATGTTGATTGTGGGTGGTGTTGTTAGGAGACAGCACCCGTGCCCTGCCATCACCCCTTCCCACCCACTCGGAGCTGTCCTTGAGCAGCTCCAGTCCTGATCGCCTGCCCCAAGGGTTCCGTGTCTCCTGGAGTCTTTGTGATGTAAATTTTAAATCTCACAATATTAACTCTCTGCCTGGAGGGAGAATGTGTGCAATTACCTGGTTGGGAGGTTGATGAAAGGTTTTGTGTTTCTTAAAACATGAATATTTATTACATAAGGGGCTTGTCCAGCCTTTGGGCGACCGGCTTCTTCCCCCTGAGCCAGTGGGAGTTTGATTGAGCTCCAGGTACTTCTAGTAGCGCGTTGCTCACCTTTAAGATTGTTTTAAGCAGGCATTACCATGTCTGATCAKTTATTTGTAATCACTCAAATTGTTTCATTACAGAGTGTAATGGCCTAGTGTGCATGTGGACCAGCTATTATTCCATGCAACCAGGACATGTTTTGTTTTTTAACCTTTTGAGAAACACATTTATCTCTAACCAKACTGTTCACCACTGAGTCTGGAGCCACCTGCACACTGCATGGCCACACTCAATCCTAATGCTGTTGCCTGTTAATGTCATAATGAGAAAGGTTGGGGAGACAGGGTTGGGAACCAAGAGGATAATCTGGACTTTAGTTTGGGTACTAAAAACTAGTCAATCTGTTTTAACTTTAAAAAAAGAAAAAAAAAAAAAGAAAAAAAATAACAGCTTGCACCAAAGTCACCAAAGAACCTTTAGAAAAATGTTACAGTTTGTGACAAGAAATAAGCAAGTTATTTTCACTGTTTTAGGTGATTCCCCCTTTAAAACCACATATRGCAGTTACAGCAACCAAGCCTTTGGCTTAGTGTCAAAAACTCCCACCCCTTTCTCCATAGGTTGCTCTTTCAGGTCCCTTTTTCAAACCTGGAAGAGGTGTTTTTGCTCCATCACTCGAACAGCCAGTGGACCTTGATGAATCAGCAGGAGTTGTGCGGGGTACTGGTTCATCATCACTCTTACGGCTTTGGTCCCAATGGTTTTAGCAGGTCAATTTAAAAAAAMCCCACAAAAAACSACGTTAAAAGAACTSTACATCCTTTTATGGTGTGAAACCAGAATTTAATGAATGAGTCGTCGATGCGTATGTTAGCGTATCACTGACTGCTGCTGCCCATCACAGTGCCTGAGGTAAAAAATTCACTTCTAGTCCAACAAACCGGAGCTATGAATGTACGAACTTTTTACGCTCTCCTTCCCGTTTCTATGTGGCGTTCCTCCCCTGTGAGCTCGGCATCTCCCTATCCCTGCCCGCCTTTGCCTCAAGGGATCGTAAAAGCTCCTCGTGGTTGGAATTAGCCTGAGTGGCCACGTGTGTTTTAAGTGCTCATGCCTTCCCTGTGTTCCTGTAGTGTTGGTGAGGAAATTACTCGTGATTGGAAWGGGATGTTTTCTTCACCATCTTAAAAGGAAAAAAGGATGCAAAATGGCTTTCYTTATTGCTGCCCATTTTTTTAAAAAAAAACTTTATCTTTTGTTAATTAATTGGCCTTCCAATGCCATTAGTTTGTTGTAAATATCACCCAGGAATCCAACGAGTGCTGGCTACTGGGCCAGCTTCAATTCTGGCACGCAGGTATCCCGTAGGATCCACTAATGCATTTATTTCCCTGGCACGGGATGCACCTTAGGATCCAAACCTGGATCGGGATCTTCACGTTCATTGCCGATCCCCCTTGGGTAGACCAGTGGCTGTGGGTTTCCATCACAATGGAAAGCACTGGTCTTTGTGGATGTTGTGTTGGAGGGTAATGGGTTTCCATGCGATGGGAAGCAGATGTTGGGTTGGAGGGGAGTAGGGACACACTCAGAGTGTAGCAATGCAAGACTTGAACGGTGAGATTCGGAAACGGGTTCCTTTGTGTTTTTTGGCAGCGCGTCTTCAGCTTCCCAGAGCAGTGACCACGTGGGCTGCTGGTGTGCAGGAGGGCCCAGCAAGATGCTTGGGAATGCTGARTCCCTGATGTGTTTTAAATGTTCGTTCCTGACGCCCTGAAACTGCCATGTCCCTTAAACTTGAGAAAACACAAGCTTATTTGCACTAGAAAGAACGGCCAAAAACAATCCTTAGGAGGACAGGGTGAAGAGCACCGGTCTGAACCTCTTTTTCTCATGAGAGAATTTCCTATTCAAGCCCTCACCTCTGTTTCGAAATTGTATGGTCCCGGCAGAAAGTCTGTCAGTTGAATTATTAAATCCTGATGCACTTTATATTGTGTAAATAATATTAGGAGCACATTTCTGCTCCCGCTCTGGTAAGGGGATGCTTTGGTAACGTAGTCTAATGCTGAGAGAAGCCGTCTCCTGCATGCACATGTCTGTTAGAGACCTGTTGATCCTGCTTGGTCCAGCTCCGCTCGTATGTTAGAGGAGGACAGGTGCTGTATTGAGGATCCTCTCGAACCACCAAGAGTGGGRTGATGATTTGGTTTTTTAAATTGCAGTGTGCAGAGCTGCTGAGCATCCTCAGCTCCGCTGTCTCAGCGGCTCCTCGCCCCTTCCACAGACTGGGCCCCCCATGTTGCTGTCAAGGCTTAAAACCGAACTTTGCGCATGTAGTCTTGACAAAGCCAAGTCCAGCAGCTGCCTCGTACTTGGCTTTCCCTGCTGCTGGCACAGAAACTGGGGTGGWCCCTGAAAAGCTTAWCCCKGGTGGAAGGGGCTGCRGGGGCTTCCCCTGCCTTGCAGCTGSGGGGTTGTTTTGTTGAGTCCGGCCCGTGGAGCCGGCTTTCCTGGTAAAGTACAGAGCTATGGAAGGCTTGGGAAGCGTTTTGCACTGGTGTGATGAGGGCCACCCTGTGGGTGCTCCCGGAGGTATGGCGAGACCCTCCCTCGTGGGYTCCTTTCATGGAGCCTGGATGGACGATGGACTTTACCCAGCGAGAAGCTGCAGTGGTTATTGGTATCTACTCGTCGTCGTAAGTGTTTCTTATCTGTATCCAATATATACCAATTCATATCCACATATAGGCATTAATATATTTATGTGACTATATTGTAGCCTGTAGTAGCTCGTAGCRAAATAATCTTATTTATCTGAAGTGCAGTCTGAGGAGGGGTCGTCTGCTCCTACCACTGGTCTGGATAAACACGTTATTCCACCCAGAGCTGGATGTGAGCTCTTGGCCGCAGCCCTCGTAAGAATTCCATAGGTTTATGGCRAGTCTGCAATGGAAACTGTAGTGAAAAGAAGGCAAAGCTCTTCTTTGGAGGCATCATTGAGGCGAGGTGAGAGCTGTAAAGAAGAGGCAACTGCTGGCCACGTCATGTGTCCATGCCATTTTGCAGCCCCTGGCTCTGCAAATCTGTACTGACATGTTCATAAAATTCCAAGCAGAAGTATTAAAATCCTGTCCTTTATACAAAAAAGAACCCCCAAGCAATTGCCAAAATCAATGTCAGCACATTTTTTTTTCAGCTACAGATGTCCCAGTCTGATAATTGCATAATTTTTTCCCCCTATGGCCTATTGAAGTGACCTAAACTCCCAGGGAAGGGAGTTGGTGGTGGTTAGGAAGCTTTCTGCTTGCGTGACTTGCAGTCCTGTTATCCAATTCTAGTAATTTTTATAGTAGAAGGGAGTTTATTATTTTGTATTTTTATTGGGCAGATTTTGCACCAGGTCAAAAATTACTTAATAAGCGTCTTCAGTTCCATGGCATTCCCACTTTTG